ATTGGCTCCAGTTTATATTTTTATGTTCTGACAAGTCAGTCCTGCCCTTTTCCTCTCTAAGCAACAACAAGGTTCTGTGCAATGCCCTCAAGATCTATTGGCACAGATGGTGGTAAATATGAGCCAAAACATCTGTGCACAGTAAACAGCAGAAGTAACATTTGAAATATGAAGTTTTATTTATTGTTGTTTGGAAAGGTTCAAGGTGTTTCCAGTGACAATCTGCACATCAAATGAATCTGTGAGTGATGTGATGAATAATAGGGTTGTTGTTGTTGGCCTTGTACAGTAATAAATCAGTTCTTTGGAAAAAAATACAGCTACAGCCAGAAGCTGGTTAGCACAGCTTAGCATAAAGACTGGAAACAAGAGGAGGAAACAGCAGGAAGTGACTGCTCCAGGCCGAGAAATAGTCCGGCACACAACCCCAAGTACATGTGTTGGTTAGCAGGGTTTCCGCTCCTTAAGAAATCATATCCCAGGGCCTTTCCAGGGCGTTTTCTTGACAATACAGGAAAGCATTTGCTCACAAATGGAGTTTAACACGTTAGTTTGTTGAATTAACACAATCTAGTTAGACAGAAAACGTTTTGTGCTTGTGCGACTTTCTCCTCCCTTTTACATGGGAAATCAAACATGAATTGAGTATAGATGAGATTTCTTCTGAGTTTAACCTGTACAGATACTGTAATTGAAATACTTTAATTGGCTATTAAATCCCATGATTGATTGCTTTATGACCTGAACTTTTTATAAACTCTGGGATCATGGCTGACTCTGCACTATGACAGGCGGTGGCAAAAAGACAAAAAGTTCCCCCTCAGGGATCAACTGAATGAATTTAGCATTTATACACCGTCAGTGACACGCTGTCAGCTGTATTTGATTCATATCATTACTTGTGATGTTATCTTTTTAGCAAAGAGTGCCAGATTTTCTTGCAGGTACAGCTCCTGCATTATATAACAAACATAACTTAAGCCCACATGAAACTTTGATGATTAACACGTACAGGTAGAAACCAGGACAACTGAGTGGTTCTGGTCCAAAACAAACTAAACATACCAAGGGACAATTACAGGAGAATATTATGCTCACTAAAGGAGCATCTCTTCTGATATATTTCTATCTTTTATCTCAAGTGGAGCTGCAGTGATGCCATAATATGGGGCCTGTGTGTGCATAGACTGCAAATTACACGTTATAGCAGTTTTAAAGGGAGCAAAGCTGCAGATGCAGGGTAGCCCAACTTTCACTCACTTTGAAATGAAAGGAAAATGTTTTAAAAAGATCTGCATTGATGTGAAACTGCTAAATTTAAGCAGCTAATTGATTAGGTCATTAGCTCCCAACCTTTTTTGGCTCATAAAATGAAGCAGTGTCTACTTGTATGTGTCCACCAAAGAGTGATTTCCCCCTCTTAACATATCAGACTGTTTCATTTGAATATGTTTTAAAGGTGAAATGACAAAAAAGTGAAGATGAGAACGAAGTTACATTTGAGTCTTTAAAAACAGCCAGCAATCGCTTGCAAAAATATTCTGTGACTAACACATGAGAAAAAAAATACATAATCTTAATTACTTAATCCATTCTAAAACCTTTTTGATGAAACTGATTTCTTTCAAGACCTGTAGCTACTTGTAGTACAATAAATTTAAGATTGTGTGGCAGAAATATGTTTCTTTTCTTCTATTCTATATGCCATTAACCAAGTCCATCGTGTAACCCAGGCTGGGAACCACTGAAGTAAGTGATTGACAAAGAATTTTGAGACTCAGTAAATCATTTAAGTAATTTTATTAAGCATTTTCTTTTTCTGACTTCAAGAATAAAAGTATTTTCTGTTTTTCTGTTTTATATCATTGTTTTAAGGGTTTTATGCTTTTAGTATGTATTTTTTCCAATTTTCTGACATATTTCAGACAAAGAATTCATCAGTTAATCATAATCATAATCACACAGATTAATTGATAATCAATATAATGGTTAGTTGAGGAAAAATTCTATTTATTGAGCTCTGATTCACTTTCAATAAATTTTAATAATCCCACAGAGTGCCACCAATCTACCCTGCATTCTCACTTTCTTGTAAAATTACCAGCCATTCTTAATGTAGATTTACACAGGATCTAGTTTGTGACTGTATCTCTCTCTCTATAATACACCATAGACCTCCAGTGTTGAAGGGAAACCGTCCAGGATCAAGCCCTGCATGCGTTCTGTGCACAAACAGAGACCTAAACTACTTTCCACCTGTGAACCTCAGGCCTGTTAACAGCTATGATTGAGAACACACTTCACCTCTCCGACCTGTAAGTACAAAAGTAAAACTGAAAAGAGACAAATAAGCACCTTACCACTTAAACATCTCCCAACAACAACAGGTAAAGAAGGTAATACGGCCGCGGCTGTATCATTTAGGCCTAGCAGAAGGCCTGTATAGAGCTATATCATTTACCTACAGGTACTTTGGTGTAATGTGGAGGTCGTCACTATGTTATTTACCTAAACTGGCGTACAGTAGGCAGGCGGTAAGTGTAGGCTTCTGTGTCAGACAGTAATTGTTGTTTGGATACAGGCTGAAAGAGACCGAGCTACAGTGTGAAGCTTACTGTTAGTCTGGTTTTTAGCCAGAGGTGAACACACACAGAGGTGTCAGGTGTGTTTTTTTTACAGGTTTTTTTCCCCCAAAAAAAGATGAGTTAGCATAAGCAGCGCTAAAAACTTCATCAAGAGGTAACCCAAGGACAACAAAAACCGTCTGCACATTGTGTTTCATGCAAAAGGTAAAACGTGGCGACAGGGACAGTAAGGTTTCCATTATAAAAGACCACCTTTCAACTAAAAATGACTGCATTAAAGGGTGTAATTTCCTCTGGGGACGGGGAGGACCTGTCCCCCTCAGTTTTCAAAATCCTATTCATCATCGCTTAAATGATGATGATGGATGTTCAGTGGTCTAGCATCTATTTTTAGACATTTAGTGGATCTAAAAAACACACAGATTTAATTATTTTTACCCCCAAAAACTTGCAAAGGAGGTTTCAGTATTTTTCCAGTCAAAAGCTATGTAGCCTGAAGCGCAAAACCCAGGGATATAAAAAATATTAAACTTGTGAGCAGCAATGACTGCAAAAAGGGCTTTTTTTGCCCTGGGTTTATCTCTCAGGCCACATAGAGGCTCATCTAACCTTCTCATTGGTGGAACTTGTTTGGAGCAGTGCACAGTCTGCCAGGAAGATCCATTTATCTAAGACATTATTCATGACCCCAAAAACTACTCAACTTCCCCTGAAAGTTTTTAGAAAAAGCTTTAGGGAAGGTTTAGTAAGGTAGATCTTCTCTCTTATGTTCTGCCTTTATTAGTTTGTGGTTAATTTCTGATCTCAGTCTCAGCTCTTTATCAATTAAACTAAATTATGTACATTAATAGTTCACAAATTTAGGCCACATTTCTAATAATCTTCTGGAAGGCACAAAGACCCATTTCCTGTGTCTTTGCTACATTAATATAAATGTATGTAAATGAATAATACTCTTCTAAAACCAAATCTATCCCCTTAAATAATGTCTTATTTTAAAATTTCACCATAAAATGCTCTGTGTGATGCTAAACCTTTTTAATTAAATCTGCAGGATGATATTTTAGCATCCTAAGTTTAGGGAGTGACAACACTGCATTAAAAGGTAATGTACAATTATATTTTTTATCATATCAGCAGCCTTAACAACATCAAAAAAACTGTTCAAACTTTTTCCAAAATCAGCAGTTTTTTAATGTGTTTGGATGTCAGAGCACCTGTGTCTCAAGTTCTTTCTGTTCATAACACAGAGAGAAACCCTTCTACTTATTTACAGCCTTCACCCCACTAACCTGATGATGCTGAAGCATTTATAGAGGCTTGTTAATGTATAGGAATTTCTATGAAGCCAGACGGTTTATACTGACATATAAAACACCCACAAAACTTTCCCCTTAAGTGTCACTCGCAGTCATAAATCAGAGAGTGGAGCAGCTCTGTTAGTCGCTATTAAAGTAAACAGCCGACAGGTGGAAGGCATGTGTATTATATATCTGTATCTACTGATGTAAGTTTAATGCAATATAAGAGTGTGCAGTCATTCATCGATGAGCAAATCACACCTGACTCTGTCAACATCTGTTTGGATGTCATTGGTGACAGATTGATGTTGAATTAATGGTAGCAATGACAAGAAAATGAGTTCCTCGCCTAAAGACACAGTTTTGTTTTTGCGTGCGTCTGACTCGTCACCTGGAGAAAACACAATTCAATCTAAAGATAAGGACTGCTGAAACAAGTATAACACAAACGTCAAATAGCGATAATGTCTGTGGGTGTTAATGTGTGTATGATGGAAGGAGATAGCAATTAAAATAGGAGCCCTGAGGTAATTGTTTCTAAATAAAGTGATGGTAATTTACTTGTTTCCGGAAATGAAGTTCCCAAAGCTTTTTTTTTTTTTTTTTTAATGCACTCCTCACAAACTAAACAGTTTGGACTTGTTGCCTAATAACAAAATGAAACCTGTTTAGTCTGCTCACCTCACCACTTAATCTGCAATGATGAATAATTACAATATTATTAAAAGAGGATAGATTGATAATTCTTTATGCTTATATATTTATTTATTTTTCTAAAATTGGCTGCAAAGCTTTAAGAGTGTTTGACCAAAGTGTTGTCAACTGAAAATCTGCACTTCAGTCATTGTAAGATAACAGCAGACATTTAAGTACAAGGCACCAACATCTACACATGTAAGTATTTAAGTGTCATTATTCCTGAAAGAAAATGTAACACCTCTCTGTGTCTTTGTGGAAAAGGAAGCTAAAATAGTGGAGAAGCAATAACTAATTAACACAGTTCAAACCCTTTGTGTCTTGTAGGTCTGAATTCTGATGAAGAAAACCTCAACTGATGATGTTCTGGGGAGTGGAAGTAAAGCCAAGACGGCATCATGCAGACGAGATGACTCACCCTGCTGCCTTTCTCTGGGTTGCACTTGCATCCTCCGCTACAGTCCAGGCCTGCACACGGCTCGTCAAACTTGGTACCCTGCAGACATAAAAAAAAGACACAGATATTACAAACAATGCTTTAGGAATGCATTTGTTAAAGTGTTGTTCAAGCCCGGCATTTTGACGTTCAAATAATTTTGTTTCATGTCACACTTAACCACCTAAATGCAACAGCAGTATGTAGCTGTATGAGCCTGAGGTATAGCTGCAAAAGAGGAAGGACAAATTCCTTCAAGAATAAAACAAAAACAAAAGACAGAAAACTGAAAACTGAGGCAAAAGACTAACAGTTGCATCAGTGAGAAGTTGGCAGGTTTACAGCCATTTAAAAGAGGCAAAGGGATTTAAGGAGGATTTAGGAAAGGATCAGATCCAGTCAGTGCTGATACTGTGCATGATTCCTTTAAAAGGGGATATCTAATTATGTAGACATAACATGTACTATCAGGTTCCTTTCTGTGCTGTACTAACACTGTGTTTACAGCCTTTATTTTTATCTCCTTACGCCATTCTTTTCTGGGTTTTCTAACGGGGGACAGCTGAGTCAGTGTGTAACCACAGATTCCCTCCAGCTTTTTTTTTGGCTTGTTATTTCACAACAGAGATACAAACCAGCTTTAACTATAACCAGAGACAAACCTTTGCACAAAGAATAGAGCCAGTGATACCAGCAGCAGCCCTGGGGAAGCCCTTTAGGACATGACTCCTTTCATAATGTTACTGTGACCTGTGGGAGGTTTGTTTTCTCAGCAACTACGAGTGACAGAAAAAGCATTTTGTTTGAAATCTTATTGAGAGTGTTTTCTTCCTTTTTGGCCTCCATACACCCTATCTTATGCACAATAAACAAACCACACACCATTTGTAGCTCATAAACTCCAAGTGAACTACAGATTAACCTTTTTGTGTCCAGGGTGGCATTCCTGAGATATCTACCAAACATCATGCAGTGCTTTTAGAGTTTATAAGCAGCATGGAGAGAGCATTTATAAGCTGACGTATGAGTGGCATAAGCTCATATGTGAGGCTCTTAAAACTTCAAAACACCAAATACCATCTATTCTCTTGTTGGGTCTCTGGTTTAGAGGTGACGGACCACATAGTGAGAGGAAACATATGTGTATGTTTTTATTTGTTTCTACCTGTTAAATACTGTGCGTGAATCTACATTTTGTATAAATATTAGATAGATAATTAATAATGGCGCTTGTGAACATAGGAGCAAATATCTCTGTGGTTTGGGGGTCTCTTTGGGGTCAAACACAAAGGTCGTGGCTGGCATTTCAATGTGATTAGTGGATGAAAGGGTGCTGGCGGGATGGAGAGACATGGAGGAGATGGGTGGCAAAAGGGTGTGATGGAAGTTCAGAGGACAGGGGTTGATGAGGAGAAAGTGTCAGGAGGTGAGAAAGGGTGCAGGGAGTAATAGTTCATATGACCACAGTCTGCGAGCGCTCATATCCACAATAATTGAGGTCAAGGACCCCTGTAAGTAACCGTCAGCTGGTCTAGTCTCAGTCGAATATAATAAGAGCCTGGGAAAGACTGGTGTGTTAACCATGTGAAAACGCCTGAGAAATATTCGGATTATTTGTATTGACTCATGTGACCCTTTTAGGCTGAACTTTCAACAGATTTAAACCTGCATTAGTAGTTTTTTTGACCTTTTGGGGACAGCGCTACAAGTTGTAAACACAACACTGACCTCACAGAGAGAACATGTCCCATTTACACACCCAGCAGATACAGAGCAACATTAATACTTATTTGGAGTTGTGTTTCCAGCCACCTGATGAATATAAGTGCAATATCTAATCTAATCTATCTAAGAATCTGGTCTCCACCAACTCCAGA